AATTGATTGTCCTGACTAATCACCTGTTAGGCCTAATTAATCTTAGAATGTTTTAAAGTGTTGCAATTGTGATGTATTTTAGTGTGTGATATGATTAAGCTGTTGACGAACTGTGATTGTTTTTTAAATTAATGAAAACATTTTTTACTGTCTGTTATTTTAGAGAAACTGATGATGGTGGAAAACACCGAAACGTATTTTAATTGATAAATAGACCATAAATGACTGAAGCCCAGGAATTGACTTTGATTTGGAACGTTGATAACGTTTCTGCTGGGGACTCGATGACTGAACGAAATCTGGAACTCTATGACGCAAAATGATCTGAAAAACACTTGCACTTGCAGAGTGGAAAAAAACCAAAAAGCTCCAAAAAATATAATAAAACGGTTGGAACCCTTCATAGCACTTTGACCCAACTTACTCGTCTGTTAACAGACAATTACCCGTAGATTTTCAATATGCAGACAAAATCACCCTTAAAAAATTACAGCTTTGATAACTGTACTTGGTGCTTTCGGAATAAGTTCAGCCAAAAATCCACAAATTCCTTCTCTGGATCGATCAGCAGCCTGAACCGCTCATTCTCCATTGAAAGGAAGTTGAACTCATCTTTCTTAGCGGGTTTCCACATAATTTCCAAGTCCTGGCCCGCTGGCGTGGGGTTGCCAACTTTGGCAAAATTGGTCCACAGTTTGGTCATTTTCTGTATCAGTTTGTATTCCAGACTGTCGGCGTTTGGTTGGTCGGTGAGGATGGTTTTGAAGAAATATGGCAAATCGTCTGCATGCCCAGCACCTGCAAACCCGTGCATTGAGTTGGTGCGCTTTCCAAAGCAGGATTTTAATGGAAATACCTTTAGTTTCAACTTGCCCGAGTTTTTTGATGAAATTCAGGTCGGTGTCCAAATCGAACCTGTAGAAATACACCGGAAACTTGCTGGTTTTGCTGTGAATTAGTGCGGTCTTGTAGATATCGGTCAGGAAATAGTTGTGAGTGTACAGCTGGAATGATTGCAAATTGAAAAGTCCTGCCACTAAACCACATGGGGGTGTTGAAATTCCCACCTTTATGCCCTTTTCCATGTCGGCTTTAACCATCAGATTTTCTTCTCCAGTTATTCCATACATTCTCCTAATTTCCTCGCTTACCCTCTTGAATGGCTCACTGTTAATCCGCAGGTTTAAAGTGTAGGGCACCAAACTCATGTCCGATAAGAAATAGTCGCTTCCCCGGCGCGCAAAAACCTTCATAAAGGCGTAGATGAAAATGCCCTCAAGCGTATTGTAACCGATAATCATTGGCACTTTATTGTATCGTCCAGACTTTAACAATTCCAAAGGTTCTTCGGTGATAAATCCTGGTTCTTTGGACTTGGGCTCAATCACTGGGCAAAACGGCCTGATGTTGCTGATCAAAAACGACTGAAAAAAACGGTTCAAAATGTTTGAATCCACATCGAGACAAACCCTACATCCCAAATGGCTTGACTGGCTTTGAATAGTTCTTCAATTGGGACTTTTTGCAACTCCGATAAAATCAGCTTGTCGCTATGATTATCTATGCCCAGCTTTTGCGCTAGTTCGTAGGTAAATATGTGTTTGCTTCGGATGAAGGAACCCAAAGCTGAACCACTTTGCATTATTGCCTTATGAAACAGACCTGCAAAGAACAGTGAGATTATGGGCATTTCGGGTATCTGAAGCAGTACCTTTGGCCATGGGCGACAGCACCAAGAAGTGAACAGCTCCAGCGCCAGCACTTTCTCCGAATATCGTCACATTTTTCCGATCCCCACAAAACTCGCTAATGTTCTTTTGCACCCATTTCAGGGCCATCACCATGTCCTTTAGGCCTGCATTGCCCGGAACTCCAATGGACGGATCAGAAAATGCCAGAAACCCTGCACTAAATGGTCAGCCACAGTTTTCCTACCAGCCAAATAGACAGTACCTAAAGCTCCAACCCGGTAGTTGAGAGTAACCAATACAACGTCTTTTTCCACTAAATAATCGGGCCCGAACAAGTCTGTGCCTCCTGAGCCCTTTGTGAAGCCGCCGCCGTGTATCCACACCATTACAGGAAGAACCTTTTTGCTGCCCAGCTGCAAGGAATTTTCCGGAATTTTTTTCCCCACTTTCACCTGAAGGAGCTTGCGTACCTTTGGAGTGTACACGTTGAGAAATAGACAGTCTTCTGATCCTACAATGGCGTTTGTTATGAGGCTTTTTGAATAGCATCCTGAGCCCTCTTGAGTAGCGTCTCTGATCCCCGTCCATTTATCTGGAGGTTGAGGAGCCTGAAACAGCAATCGGTGTTTAAATAGTTATTGATGTCTAAGCTTGTCCGATTTGAAGCAACTGAAAATTCGTTCCATTACGGGCCTGAATTCCGATTCTTTACAGATTCAACACACATTTGCACCGCATGGGTCTTTCAAGAAGCCTTGAGGAATTTTTCCCAAGCAACGCAGAAAATTTTGCGTTTTAACTAAGCTATGGTATTCTCTTCAACCGTTTTTGATAGTCGTTTTACATACCTTGAAGCGCAACTTTCCCAATGGAGGTCGAGCATATGGAATACCTTGAAAACTAAAATAGCTTCCATTTCCCGTACAATTTGCGCACACTTTTCCTCTCAGTTCACCTTCGGATACCCGCACAATCGCATTTTCGGTCATTTTCGCTCATTAATAGCGCTACAAAATAGTCAATGGAATGAACTTTGAATTGGCCCGACCGATAAACTAAACACTTTTCTACTAGATGGTTCAGTTGACTCGACGAAGTATATAAATGTGAAAGTCACTTGATTATGAGTGAATCGTAATCGCAATTAATGATAATTATCGCGCTTGTGTAATAGTTTGAATGCGATTAGGAGCCATGATGTTTGATTAAAGATGTATAAGAATCCATCTCAGACTATTTTTCACACAAAATCTGGTTCACCGATGATTATTCGCCCAACAAGAATTTCCTTTGCCTTGGGATCAATCGCCCCCCGTATATCGCACACGAAAGGCAAAAACAACGCGTTGTTAATAGTTTCCATGGTGACTGGTACGATGGTCTCTCTCCTGCCCGTAAAACCGAAGGCAGCCGATTTGACTCGTCGTCGCCCGAATCGATCAGTTATGGTACGAGGGGAGATTCAATTGAATAAAAAACTACCCAATCAAAACAACGAAAAACAGCAACTTTGACAGATATTTTCACTGGAAAGGAAGAAAATAATAAACCGTCGCAACGAACATCCAAAAGCCATAAGCAGACTTCCTTCGACATGCCTTGTTATTAACAGCATTCTCATAGCGTAATTAACATTGAAGTCCCGAGAATGAACTCAAGCAAAAAAAGGATCGTAGCACTTTTTATCCACACCTTAAATGTGCTAAACTTTTAGTGTTATTGGCGCGCCCTTTAAAATTTTATAACTCATTAAAACTTTTATTGCGCCAACGCATAATAACTTCCCAATATTGTAAGTTCGCAAAAAGTTCGCCGGAATCGTTCAGGTGAATTCTTAAAACGATTTTGGGGCCGAACAATTTGAGCAAATATTTCACTTCAAAAGTCGAGTTTACTAATGCAATACTTGGCGGAAAGTTTTTAAACAAAAACTTTATTGACTTACAAATTCCTTGTTCGAGACCGTTTTAAAATCCTGGAAATTTTTCTGCCTGCGGTGTGGTTGAAAGTTTCATGCTGCGAACCGATTTTTCCTCATTGTTGAGCTTAAGTGGTTTAAAGTTTTCATGCCCGAACAGTGTTACATTAGTGGAGAAAGAAGCGAAATGAGTGCATTTTTGTACTGTTTTCTGGTGTTTTCTTACTAAAAACTTTGATGTTAAAGGCAATTAATTTTTTTCTTAAAATAACCCATTGCGCCCCATCAAATTTTATAGCGATGCGCCAGCCGAAATATCTTATTTTATTAATTTCCAGCGAAACACAAAAACAGGTGAATTTTTTGGGGCAAAATTGCTTTTTTGGGTGCATCTGCCCTTAATAGTTACCGGGCAAAATTAAAAGAATGGCGCTTTTCGCCCAAATCGTTCGTCAAATATTTGAACAGCATGCGATTATGGACAATTTTGCAAATCATTCCGAGCAGCTGTTAATAGTAGAAAAAAATTCAATTAATTTTCTAAGTTTAACGAAATATTGACTGTTTTTATCTTTGTGTTATTGAGTTTTTGCTGTTTGTACTGTCGAAATATCGGAAAAGGTTCAATTGTCGAAAAAAACATAGGGAATATGGGCAGGGAGTTTGAGCCAACAGTTGATGCGCTTCACTTCGCTTCTCCCAGTTGTGTATGCGTTTGTTGAAAAATTAATGTTATCAAAACTGGGATCGGCACAGAGTTGTTTTTCACTTTTTTAAAACGCCAACGTTTAACACTAAATATGTGAAAAGTTTAAATTTTCAAAAAAATTACAGAAAATATTGGTAGATTTTTGAACCAACTCTGGCCGCGATTCACTTCGCTTCTCCCAGTTGTGTATGTGTTTGTTAAAAAATGAATGCTACCAAAACTGGGATAGGCACAGAGTTATTTTTTTACTCTTTTAGAACGCCAATGTTTGGAACTAAACAAGGGAAAAGTTCCAATTTTCAAAAAAATTCCAGAAAATATTGGTAGATTTTTGAAGCAATTCTTGACATGTTACACTTCGCTTCTCCCAGTTGTGTATTGGTTTGTTGAAAAATTAATGTCACCAAAACTGGAATAGGCAGAGATATTATTGTCCCTCCTTTTGGAAGCCAACGTGTAGCTCTAAATATGAGAACAGTTGCAATGTTCAGAAAAATTATTGGTAGAATTGACACGCTTTTGAAGCAGCTCCTTGATCGTCACTTCGCTCTCTCAATTGTACATGTGTTTCTTCAAAAATTAATCCTACAAAAACTGGTCGGGACAGTGAGCTGCATGATACCCCGTTGGAAAGCCTAGACTCAGGGCTAAATATCTGGAGAGTGCCGATTTTAGCGAAAAATGTGAGGAATATTGGCATGGTTTTAAAGAACCCTAAGTTGGCATTTTTGCAGCCACCCCCAACCGAGCCTTCCGACAACCACAATCGTTAAAAACAACCTATTTAGGTACCTTTATGCGCTCATGGCAGTTGAATTTGTGATAGTCGTCACTTTTAGCAAAATATCAATTAGGATTTGAACAAAAAATGGAGTTTTTCGATGTATGGCCGTTGGATGTGTTCTGGAGCGAAAAAAACTGTCCCTTCTTTATTAACTCGGTTAACCAAACACACATGGCTTCTGTTATGATGTGAAAAAAGATGACAAACAACCCACCGAAAATGCGTTAGTTTAATCAGCGTGAACGACCCAACCTGAGCTCTGTTTGGTTTTAAAAGAAAGTCCAAACCATGGCTAATGATCAGCTGCGCGCTCTATTCATCTGCATTTGCCACTGATAATGGTGACAATGCGGAAATATGTAACGAATAATCCCTGGCTCTATTTGGGGACGATTTCGTTGACAAACTCCGCAAACAGACGATAAATGGATTGATCAAAATGGCTTGAGAACCACGAAAATAGTCGATTATTTTCTTGGCCAAAGGAAAATTCCCTTTCAGCAAAGTTGCTTGACAAAGCAAAAATTTATGCTTCAAATCGAACCATCAATTGAATGAATGTGGAATATTTGAGCAAATTTACAAGTTCTTTTGTTAACAAACCCATTTTTCCCAGGTTTCATTTGCCTTTAAGCTCGTGCTTATTCGGTTTGAAACAGAACTTTGCTTGTAGGAAAACTGAATTACTTCTCTTGGGCTGATTAATCACTAAGTTGTTTTGCACGGAGAAGTCATTTTTCCGAAAGGAAAAAAAGCAACCCCAGTCAAAGATTCCACACTAAAAGGCACGTAGTTCATATCGCATCAATTATTCACTTAAAGACGACTTCCGATAGTGCAGAAAAGTGAATTACCCGACTTAAAAGCCCCGGAGTGAGTTTTCTGACGGGAAAATGGATTGATATGAATGGGGACAAATTAATGTCAATTAAGGGATCTTAAAGGGATCTCGATTGGCACTAAACTATCGTCAAGGGAGATCGATGGCACGCTATTTAAGGCCTACTATCAATCAATCGGACTGGTCGATTTTCTCATAAGTGGATTTTCACCGAGCCCGCAGTTTCGATTCCGATAGTGAGTTCTTCATTCCAAATTTAAGAGCTTTTCAATTGCGTGGCTCTGCGACTTCTGCCGAATTTAAATCTCCTATTTATCCAGTAAAATGCATCGCTCTTTACCAGGATTTGTGATTCCCTTAAGAGTCCATTTGACACCTTGCAAGGTCAGGAGTTTGTGAGATTTCCATTTTAGATGCCGGCAACATCTTTACATTTCAATCGTTCAATTGAAAAGTTTTCTCTCCACTAAATATAAGGGGACTTGTTCAATTTCACCGGCCACCGCTACCAATCGCAGTCGATAAAATATTATTGAGATTTGGGATGGGATTTCCAAGGAAATTGACTTTTATTGCTGATATGCTGAATGGGGTTTAACGTGTTTGTGGAGAAAAAGACGGTTTATTTAGATCAAATTTCGTTTGAAATCTGCTATGGGAAGATGAAAATCTGTCTTTCTCTTCAAACATGTGGGTCGATCTGAACTAAACTGTTCAACAAAGTCTGCTGCATACATTCTGGCTGTTTTGAGCTGAATTGATTTCGGTTTTTCTCATGTTGGCAATTTTCTCATCGAAAATTCATTATCACACCCTTAGGTGCAAGATTATGCCAACATTCCATGTTTTCCGCCCTGTTTTTGCTTATTTCTCGGAAGCAAAATGGCCTTTTTAGAACGTGAACATCAGTGGGGAAATATTGGCGGTTTCCTCAAAAAAGTTTTTACTTCAAGAAGTGCTCAATTTGCGAGTTTTTTTAGTTGCAAAATCGACTCAAACCTGCCGCTCCTTTTTTCGAAGTTTCTCAGGCCCCATTGGAGCCACAGACTTCGTTTTGGCATCCTTGGATAGAGCGTTGAAAACTCGATTAACCCATAACATGACTGGGGAAATTCGAGCAGTTTGGACCCAGAATGCGAAATTTGAATAACATCCATTGACTCACTAACGCGTCAAACTGAAACCAAATGGCTCCAAGCTTTTACAATTTATCCAACTGTGTGCTTTGTTGAGCAGTTTAGATAGACGATTTACAAAGCATTTGAAAAAAAAAACGGGAAACCAAACAATCAGTGCGTGACATCTCGTGGGAAGTAACAGTAAGGCCACTAAATCAGCAACGTTCTAGTGAAAATCGGCAAATCTAAGGCAAAAAGTTTGGGCGAATTTGCAGAATGCAATTTAGAAAGTTGCAATTGTTCGGGCGTAATTATCTATTGAATCAGTCGAATGTGAAATCAGCATATGAACATAATACAACACACGTAACATTAATTGGCCCATTTTCCTCTTCGCCAGCCTGTAATAGAGTTGTACGAGCCCTGAGTGGCCATAAATAATATTAAGCTACCATTTTGCTCGATAATCTGGCGGATACAGCTGAGCTAACAAGCGGTTAAGAATTACAGAAGCAATTAACTATTCGCCGTGTATGTTTGTCGAATAAATGTTGCTCATACGGATTATGAAAAACGGAAGACATTAACTTATCGTTTCTCAGCACGGTGGGACGCAACACGATTTTACCAGCTTATTAAAATGCTGATGTATTCATCACTTCGCTTCTACAAGACTTTGTACAGCGAAATTAATTTGCTAAAGTGCACAGTTTTCAATCATTTCGCGACTTCTTGTTCTCTGCATTCACATACACAGGAGAATCAACCAATTTTCTCACTTATCGTTCATTAAGTGCTACTTCAGATGGAGCGGAAGGGAAAACTATAAAATGGGTGAGAAACCAAAAATAGAGGTCCAAAACGTTAATCGAACGC